TATTATTTTTACAAACTATATTTTGATTAGAAGGTCGGTCCTCCATTGAAGACTTATTGGACTTTTAAGTCTGATAATGGAAATTTTGGCACGAACTTGGCACTGGCTGCTCTGTAGCCCGGCAGAGCCGCAACTCACTTTTCCAGTCCAATAGAGGTCTTACTTGCATATAACTTTGACTAGTTTAACTTAGTTATAGGCTTTAACTCCAATAAAGAGTCTATCTCCACTGTACTACTGGAACTACCGCAATTCAAACAACAGAGGAGAATCCGCTAACGACTTAATTGAAGTGCCTATAAAAGAGGAGATAAATAAGATAAGTAAATCAAACCTCAATTGAATATTCTTTCTTCTCTAATCCCTTTTATGACTTAACCATAGGAGGGTTAACCCCTAGAGCACCTTCGATTTTCTACTTGTCTTTGTAGGTGCTCCCTCATCCTGTCATGTCTTTAGAGCTCGGAAGTTATGTTTCTAATATCAACTTTTGGAATGGGATATTCGTTGATTTTGAAAAACTGGGCCGCAGCTTTTCANTATTTTTTTACTTATTAAAATTCGTGTCAATTAAAATTAGATTTATTAAAATTTAAATCGATTAAAATTCATATATTTTTTATATATTAAAATTTGGATTGATTAAAATTCAATGCGAATTAATTAAAATTTGATTTGAGTAGATTAAAAATAATTTTTAATTGGCTCAAACAAAATTTTAATTAGCTAAAATTCTAATAAGTAAAAAAATATAATTTTTAATTGGAACAAATTTTAATTAGATTGAATCAAATTTTAATCGGTTCAAATTAAATTATATAAAAAAAATTAGAAAACAGAGGGGGTCTCATTGAAGATATATTTATCTAGAGGGAGTGTGAATGAATTTTGTTCTCAAATATATCATGGGCAATTAGTAAAATTGTATTTTACTTAATATTTTTAATCTAACAGGGGTGTCATTGAAGATTCAGAAATTAAAGGAGGTGTCTTTGAAGATATGGTAAACTAGAAAGAGTGTGATTGAAATTTTTCCTAATATTATTTTTACAAACTATATTTTGATTAGAAGGTCGGTCCTCCATTGAAGACTTATTGGACTTTTAAGTCTGATAATGGAAATTTTGGCACGAACTTGGCACTGGCAGCTCTGTAGCCCGGCAGAGCCACAACTCACTTTTCCAGTCCAATGGAGGTCTTACTTGCATATAACTTTGACTAGTTCAACTTAGTTATAGGCTTTAACTCCAATAAAGAGTCTATCTCCACTGTACTACTGGAACTACCGCAATTCAAACAACAGAGGAGAATCCGCTAACGACTTAATTGAAGTGCCTATAAAAGAGGAGATAAATAAGATAAGTAAATCAAACCTCAATTGAATATTCTTTCTTCTCTAATCCCTTTTATGACTTAACCATAGGAGGGTTAACCCCTAGAGCACCTTCGATTTTCTACTTGTCTTTGTAGGTGCTCCCTCATCCTGTCATGTCTTTAGAGCTCGGAAGTTATGTTTCTAATATCAACTTTTGGAATGGGATATTCGTTGATTTTGAAAAACTGGGCCGCAGCTTTTCAGGGCCTTAATCCTCTCTCATCCAGATTCATGTATGATGTATCCCATCTTGAGTGTGGGATTGTGAAGCGCAAAGGTAGTATTAGTTGCAAAATAGCTAAAATATCCTCCACAATAACTAAATTAGTTTTATCAACATTTCACTTTAACTTTCCCGTTGGTCTCCCCGTTTCTGTGAATGGCGCTGCATCTGGATAGCCCTACTAGGTTTGCATCTCTCTCTCTCTCTCACTCGCTCTCCCTTTTCTTCGTTTGTTTCTGATGTGTGCCGTATTGAACTCTGCATGAAGAATATATATCATCTTCATTGCGATATGGGGATGGATGACATCGGATTAGCCTTGTGTCTTGAGCAGATCTATTATCTCTCTGTTTCGATCTGATCTACTACTTTTCTCTGTCGACCTGATCTGGTTTGTTCTCTTTCTCTCTCTCTCTCCGTGAGTTCAACCCAGGGAACGTAGTCCATGAATTCCCCCAAGATTTCGTTGAAAATTTTTACAAAAGTCCAACCACTGACTTTTTGCAATTGTAAGAAGTTGTACCTTTTCTCTTTCTCTCTCTCCATGTCGGCGAGTTCAACCCACTGAGGTGTTCCATGAATTAGTCCAAGATTTTCGTTGAAAATCTTTAGAAAAATCCAACCACCGACTTGTGCAATTTGATGAAGCTAAACTCTCTCTATCTCTCTCTCGCGCTCACA